TCGAGCATAAGTATCAGTGGCACTTGACAGAGGATTGACGATTCGACTTCTGCATACGCGCACAGGACGCCGAAGTCGTCCAATAGAATTCAGCACTTGTCGTACTTACTGCCTCGCTTGGTGCTGGCCAGTGTCTCACATGCTGCCGTTTCGTTCTTGCTGAGCAGCAGGTAACGTCCAGTGGTCATGGCCTACGTTTCAGCAGTGGGATTTGAACCCACGAGTGCGAACACAGTAGAACTTGAGTCTACCCCCTTAGACCGCTCGGGCACACTGACGACGACATAGAAAGGACCAACACAAACAAACATACACACAACAACACATCAACCACGACACATCACGCGACACACAGTACCCGACCGCACAGCACCCGACCACACCAATTTCGAATGCGAAGGTTGACGTGAGCGCTCAGTAGATGATGCTTGTGGCTGAAGTAGTAGCATCAAAAGTGAGGTATAAATTGTGTGTTATCTCTTATCTTCTGTGCTGTCATATCGCCGCTTGCTGTCCATACCTTTACGTCTCTTCCCCGCTGATTACACATTTAATTAACCAATCATTGGCCATTGTCGCGTTCCCTTTCTCTCTGATGTGTGCCACAAAGTCTTAGATTTTGTACTGTTGAATTGACTTAGGTTTCTGATGATGAGGCGGACTTGCGGTCGGGATGGAAAACCGAAAAGTGAGTTGTATTTAATTGGATTCGCAAATCGAAACCAATGGCTATCAGAAACCGATGACTCTCAGCCACCGATTTCACCGTCCTTTCTCTCCTATGTGACATTTCCTATCTTGGGCAATCACGACTCGCAACATACCTGCGGTAAACATTCCACACAAGCCTATGCCCAATGATAGGTTCTTGCGTGGTGTGGGGGACATCACCTCGGGGAGGTCAAGGTTCTGGTGAACCCCAAACACCTGATTGCAGGGGTCATTTGCAATTGACTTCTCCACGGCGGAAATCGAACCCGCACTCAGATGCTTGGAATCCCTTTCCAAACATCTGACCAATTCGTACCCGTACCCTGTCGTGCTAGCACATATATATGTGCATCAATGCAAGCCTATATACGCAATGTACATTGTCCACACATAGCTGCACCATCAATCTCCAACATGACCATCACCAGGAGAGTATAAATGTGCTGCGCTTGAGCTGGGTAACGCTTTGTTTCATCCCGGCCGCCGTTACGGGTGGCACTAGTAAAGGGTGAATACATGGAACTGGGGACCGCTGGTCTGAGGTTGAATACTGTGTTGCTTGACTCTAAGGGTCTGTTGTCAAAGCCAGGGTCATCATATTCCAAGCCAACTATTCTTAATGAGATTATTGACGCCTAAGAGCTGTGACCACTCTTCATACAATCGTCTCGTGATAATGGGACAGGCTCATTTTTCTGAGCGATACTGTCAACTAGGTAGTTCAACGATGTCACAAAGTGAGCGCAGCATCCCTTTTGGAGTTGCAGCCGCAATTGAAAGCTTTCGACGAGCCCTTACAAGACAGTGGAATAACGTTCGGGATTACACTTTGTCACGATCGGTCAGATCGGTTTATGTTTGAATCTGTTATAGCTGAAAGACCATATGAAGAGCGGAGTCGTAGCACCCCAATGGATATAAGCGAGTCGAGCATAAGCATAAGTGGCACTTGACAGAGGATTGACGATTCGACTTCTGCATACGCGCACAGGACGCCGAAGTCGTCCAATAGAATTCAGCACTTGTCGTACTTACTGCCTCGCTTGGTGCTGGCCAGTGTCTCACATGCTGCCGTTTCGTTCTTGCTGAGCAGCAGGTAACGTCCAGTGGTCATGGCCTACGTTTTAGCGGTGGGATTAGAACCCACGAGTGCGAACACAGTAGAACTTGAGTCTACCCCCTTAGACCACTCGGGCACACTGACGACGACATAGAAAGGACCAACACAAACAAACATACACACAACAACACATCAACCACGACACATCACGCGACACACAGTACCCGACCGCACAGCACCCGACCACACCAATTTCGAATGCGAAGGTTGACGTGAGCGCTCAGTAGATGATGCTTGTGGCTGAAGTAGTAGCATCAAAAGTGAGGTATAAATTGTGAGTTATCTCTTATCTTCTGTGCTGTCATATCGCCGCTTGCTGTCCATACCTTTACGTCTCTTCCCCGCTGATTACACATTTAATTAACCAATCATTGGCCATTGTCGCGTTCCCTTTCTCTCTGATGTGTGCCACAAAGTCTTAGATTTTGTACTGTTGAATTGACTTAGGTTTCTGATGATGAGGCGGACTTGCGGTCGGGATGGAAAACCGAAAAGTGAGTTGTATTTAATTGGATTCGCAAATCGAAACCAATGGCTATCAGAAACCGATGACTTTCAGCCACCGATTTCACCGTCCTTTCTCTCCTATGTGACATTTCCTATCTTGGGCAATCACGACTCGCAACATACCTGCGGTAAACACTCCACACAAGCCTATGCCCAATGATAGGTTCTTGCGTGGTGTGGGGGACATCACCTCGGGGAGGTCAAGGTTCTGGTGAACCCCAAACACCTGATTGCGGGGGTCATTTGCAATTGACTTCTCCACGGCGGAAATCGAACCCGCACTCAGATGCTTGGAATCCCTTTCCAAACATCTGACCAATTCGTACCCGTACCCTGTCGTGCTAGCACATATATATGTGCATCAATTCAAGCCTATATACGCAATGTACATTGTCCACACATAGCTGCACCATCAATCTCCAACATGACCATCACCAGGAGAGTATAAATGTGCTGCGCTTGAGCTGGGTAACGCTTTGTTTCATCCCGGCCGCCGTCACGGGTGGCACTAGTAAAGGGTGAATACATGGAACTGGGGACCGCTGGTCTGAGGTTGAATACTGTGTTGCTTGACTCTAAGGGTCTGTTGTCAAAGCCAGGGTCATCATATTCCAAGCCAACTATTCTTAATGAGATTATTGACGCCTAAGAGCTGTGACCACTCTTCATACAATCGTCTCGTGATAATGGGACAGGCTCATTTTTCTGAGCGATACTGTCAACTAGGTAGTTCAACGATGTCACAAAGTGAGCGCAGCATCCCTTTTGGAGTTGCAGCCGCAATTGAAAGCTTTCGACGAGCCCTTACAAGACAGTGGAATAACGTTCGGGATTACACTTTGTCACGATCGGTCCGATCGGTTTATGTTTGAATCTGTTATAGCTGAAAGACCACATGGAGAGCGGAGTCGTAGCACCCCAATGGATATAAGCGAGTCGAGCATAAGTATCAGTGGCACTTGACAGAGGATTGACGATTCGACTTCTGCATACGCGCACAGGACGCCGAAGTCGTCCAATAGAATTCAGCACTTGTCGTACTTACTGCCTCGCTTGGTGCTGGCCAGTGTCTCACATGCTGCCGTTTCGTTCTTGCTGAGCAGCAGGTAACGTCCAGTGGTCATGGCCTACGTTTTAGCAGTGGGATTAGAACCCACGAGTGCGAACACAGTAGAACTTGAGTCTACCCCCTTAGACCACTCGGGCACACTGACGACGACATAGAAAGGACCAACACAAACAAACATACACACAACAACACATCAACCACGACACATCACGCGACACACAGTACCCGACCGCACAGCACCCGACCACACCAATTTCGAATGCGAAGGTTGACGTGAGCGCTCAGTAGATGATGCTTGTGGCTGAAATAGTAGCATCAAAAGTGAGGTATAAATTGTGAGTTATCTCTTATCTTCTGTGCTGTCATATCGCCGCTTGCTGTCCATACCTTTACGTCTCTTCCCCGCTGATTACACATTTAATTAACCAATCATTGGCCATTGTCGCGTTCCCTTTCTCTCTGATGTGTGCCACAAAGTCTTAGATTTTGTACTGTTGCATTGACTTAGGTTTCTGATGATGAGGCGGACTTGCGGTCGGGATGGAAAACTGAAAAGTGAGTTGTATTTAATTGGATTCGCAAATCGAAACCAATGGCTATCAGAAACCGATGACTTTCAGCCACCGATTTTACCGTCCTTTCTCTCCTATGTGACATTTCCTATCTTGGGCAATCACGACTCGCAACATACCTGCGGTAAACACTCCACAGAAGCCTATGCCCAATGATAGGTTCTTGCGTGGTGTGGGGGACATCACCTCGGGGAGGTCAAGGTTCTGGTGAACCCCAAACACCTGATTGCAGGGGTCATTTGCAATTGACTTCTCCACGGCGGAAATCGAACCCGCACTCAGATGCTTGGAATCCCTTTCCAAACATCTGACCAATTCGTACCCGTACCCTGTCGTGCTAGCACATATATATGTGCATCAATGCAAGCCTATATACGCAATGTACATTGTCCACACATAGCTGCACCATCAATCTCCAACATGACCATCACCAGGAGAGTATAAATGTGCTGCGCTTGAGCTGGGTAACGCTTTGTTTCATCCCGGCCGCCGTTACGGGTGGCACTAGTAAAGGGTGAATACATGGAACTGGGGACCGCTGGTCTGAGGTTGAATACTGTGTTGCTTGACTCTAAGGGTCTGTTGTCACAGCCAGGGTCATCATATTCCAAGCCAACTAATCTTAATGAGATTATTGACGCCTAAGAGCTGTGACCACTCTTCATACAATCGTCTCGTGATAATGGGACAGGCTCATTTTTCTGAGCGATACTGTCAACTAGGTAGTTCAACGATGTCACAAAGTGAGCGCAGCATCCCTTTTGGAGTTGCAGCCGCAATTGAAAGCTTTCGACGAGCCCTTACAAGACAGTGGAATAACGTTCGGGATTACACTTTGTCACGATCGGTCAGATCGGTTTATGTTTGAATCTGTTATAGCTGAAAGACCATATGAAGAGCGGAGTCGTAGCACCCCAATGGATATAAGCGAGTCGAGCATAAGTATCAGTGGCACTTGACAGAGGATTGACGATTCGACTTCTGCATACGCGCACAGGACGCCGAAGTCGTCCAATAGAATTCAGCACTTGTCGTACTTACTGCCTCGCTTGGTGCTGGCCAGTGTCTCACATGCTGCCGTTTCGTTCTTGCTGAGCAGCAGGTAACGTCCAGTGGTCATGGCCTACGTTTTAGCAGTGGGATTAGAACCCACGAGTGCGAACACAGTAGAACTTGAGTCTACCCCCTTAGACCACTCGGGCACACTGACGACGACATAGAAAGGACCAACACAAACAAACATGCACACAACAACACATCAACCACGACACATCACACGACACACAGTACCCGACCGCACAGCACCCGACCACACCAATTTCGATGGAAGTGGCCATGACTCTGAATACCGTGTGAGTCCCATTAGTAGGATCGTACTCGGCTGCCCCTATAGACTCGAATACCTAGCTATTTTTTATAGTCGGACCCACCTTCCAACTCCATCGAATAGATGATCCCCACTTTAGAGCCATCATCATTAGCCCGTGGTGACTCCATACGTACCTCTGACGCAACCGGTGCTAAAAGCAGAGTTGCAGCAGCAGCGGATGAAGCATCGTTTACAGTCAGAGACTGGTCATCGTCAAGAGCGGCTGAGTCAAGACGCGCAGTCGCCTTCTCAGCATATTTCGACGCGCATCGCACAGGTTTTTCACCACGCGGTTAAATCCGGAAATAGATAGATTGGAAAAAACAATTGCTCTTTGTACCCAATGTTTTCAAACGGTGACCACATAAACATGAAAGCGAATGAGTGAATATCCTGTAGGGGGTGGTGGTGCAACGATGTGAACCTGTTGCACATAATTGACCTTAATACTCACTAATTACAATATTAAAAATAAGGTCGATATTGTCGGTAACCATTACCTTAAGGAGCATATTCAGAAACATTCACCGATTGACTAATAGGGGTCATAAAACAAGCCGTGGCTATCAGTCAAATTAGCGATGGAAGCGCGAAATGAGTGGTGAGCAAGACTTAAGCTTATACTTTTGTAAATGCAAATAATGAAGCTAGGACTTCAACATAGGTTAATGATTGGGACTACACGTTATTTAGTTAAGGTTCCCTTTTTATTCCTGTTTGCTTTACCTTCTCTAAATAGCTTACAGAGGTAACAGGGCACCGCTCACACTGCTGTCAGTGAGAGTCGCTCCATACTGGATATGCAGCGTGTTGCCCCGGTGTGAAGCTCCGGGGATTTATTGACATCATCGCGATGATTTGCGTTAACCTGCTTATTACTCGCACCAAACGAATGCGATCTGCTCGATCTCGGTGTCGAGTACATGGACTTGTCGGATGAGGCGAACAGATCATGATCTATTTTGGGATCGAGACTGCCCTTTCGTCGGGCAGTGGTCGTTTCTGCACCCACAGACTCTGTCACGGGGCTAGAAAAACCCGTACTTAGCTTACAATATCGATGCTTAGGAAGCCTTGAACCCAAATTCTAGGATAAAGTAAATTAAGCTCGGTTAATTTTTTTTCTCTTTTTCAATTCTAAGTACAAATGGTTCTCATGGATTTATGAGAGCCACTCAATCTACATGTCGATATATTACTGGCTGATAATGGGTCGATCCCATTAAACCAGCTACAAGTATGCGACTTGCGACATCCGCCACTTTGGATGTAGCCACCCGACTTAAGTAACATGTAAACTTAACGAGACTACTCAAGGACCGGAATGCCTCGTTTCATCATCCCATTCTCAAGGCAGCACTAACGCAACCAGAGTGCTCAACTGCAAGACCCCAAAGGCCGGTCAACCCAAGCGATAACCGAAGACGCAAACACTAACACCACAGAACTCCCGCACGTTATCAGCGTGATTTTTACAGACCACGTGATGGATTAGCACCTGATCCCTTGGGCGCTGTACGGTTTGTCCTTAGCGCAAGATCCGGACTTTCTTGAAACTATGCAGTATTATTTCCGGCGCTTTTGTAGATTACGCAGGAAGAGTGTTGAAGTCATCTTGCACAACTCGATCCAGCGTTCTTGGTACACATTCATCCGGCGGTGGAACCGGATGCTTGTAGACGGAAGGAACTTTCAGAAGTGGCTTGCCAATTGCGAAGATATATACGCTGAGCACTTAATCGGTCTGCTTTACGAGAAGGTACGTAAGAACGCGTGGAACGTAGACTATCTCTGCTACGTTCACGGGCACGAATCTTTTTACTCCTGTGACTCGATGCCTCGTTAAACCCCTGAGACGTGGCAACGACACGTCGATCAATCATTTACTCAGCGAATATGAACAGCTCTGGATCCGACGGTATGAGCTCAGCTCGATAGAGTAAGATCGCGGTTATTTGTGGTGCGTCAAGCTGGCGACAACACTCACGTTCTCGGGTATGTGGTGCCACACGGTCGCCACGACGTTCTCGTTCGCGTGGTCGTGATAATACACGTTCAAAGCGACGTTCACAACGTCGTGGTGACGTTTCACCGCATTTTTTGTGTCGTAGCTGTTCGTCTCGTAGTCGTGGTAACGCTTCAACACAACACCGTCGTCGTTCTTCTCAATTTCGCTAACAGCGACAATAATTACGTCGTCGACCAAATCTGGATCGAGAGCATGCACTGACACGTACGCCAGAACTCCATCTGGACCGTCTTGAAGAAGCGAGGAGCTCGGTTCCCACGTATCCTGCTCGGGTGCAAACCCGATCCAACATACAAGTTACTTACGCGCTGTTGGGACAGCGCGCGCATAAAGTCTAGATGATGTCATTTCGCTACGAGGATCCTTGTGGCACAGTAAACGCTCCACGATACAGCGTTTCTGATGTTCCGCGTCCACAAGCGGCGGCAGGCCTTCGAGATGGTAGCGCTGACGTCCTGGTTGCCCAGGACGATGTAAATGCGGCAGTTAATAAGGCTGTCGATGCCCAACTGTAAGCTGAAACTGCCCTTGATCGTGCTGCGCGGGCTGAGGTAACAGCGAGCGAGGTTCGACAGTCGAAGCGCGAATCGCTTTTACGGAGGCGGAACCTGGAACGTCAAGTTCATCGAAACGCGCAGACTGAAACGCAGCCGCGTCCAATGTCGCTGGCGCGTCGAGCAAGGCGAGAGATAAAGTCGACCTATGATCCTTTGCCTTCGGGTTCGGAGCCAACCCGTAACGCGTATCTGGACGATTCTTTGTAAGCCGCCTAACGTTTAACGTCGGGTGAAATTGCAGCGACGAAGGGATGTCCGGCGTGAGGGCATCGCCGATTGCCTCAAGTACTGTAAATGGGCCGATGAAACGTGGCACGAGTTTAGTCGCGCCGATATCGTTTACCGCTGAATCTCATAGGTCTCCAGTAGATTGCAATACACGATCACTCTTCTTTAATGTAGTCAGGTTATTTCTGCCACGTTTGTCTGCATTCGCTTTCTGTTTGTGCACTGCAGATCTCAGGTTATCGCGTACAAACCTCGTAATGGATTGACGTTGGACTATAAACTCCGACACAGCCATGTCATCAATCTATTGCGTCGACTCAATGGTGCGTAGTTGGCTTGAGGTGTTCGTTTACCCGAAAAAGGGTCAATCAGTGTGTGTGCGTCTATTGAGCTAGCAGGGACGCTATGTCACGTGGCGTCAAAACAGAAGGCTTCGATTTGGACCGGGTGACAACATTCGCGCTCAGAATATCGTGAGCTACACTCGATCGTTGTTTATCACTTTTATTACCTATCAGAGTGGAGCCACGAAGAATTGTGGGATGAATCACGGTAAGAACAGGAGGTACACGAGGACGACGAGCCGACTATGCATCAAACGGCGTCGACCCCGTGACGTGTGAACAGCGTTTTTGATAGTGCAAACTCCGCGCGTGGCGAAAATGCATTTAAACTTGTGAAGGAAGTTACTTAACTTCAAAGATTATCTTCGAGTACCCGGTTAGTCCGCTCTTTTTGCCCATCCATTTCCGGATATGCTGATGTCAGCATTTGTACACAGCTCCTTGAGTCAAAGCAAGAATTGACGCTCAACGAGCAGCTCAGTTCTAAACATTTAGACTCTATGAGTCAACAAGCGTGTAGCTACTGGTCCTTGTTCTAGGCACCAAACGATTCAATGAATCAACAGCAGATAATGCTCAAGAGCAACTAGCTACCTCACAGAAGTGTTGCTTATTCGTAGTGATCAGCAATCAACGACCAAAGACGCTTCGCAAGGCACGCGTCTTTAAGATAAACAGGAAAACTGAATTGTATTTACATTTACACCTGTAGAATGTCTTAATCCTATCAGACACTTAAATCCTAAGTTAGTACAACTAGGATCTCTTTATCTGGTGGCTGACACCAGTCAGTCCCTATAAACCGACAGAATATTCTACATCTCTTTCAGTGGGATATAATCTGTGTGTCTAAGACACAGGGAACCAATCACCCAGATACGTGTAACCCCTTAACACCCTCCCCCACCATACTGACGTCTCCCCAAACGTCAATCGAACCTTGTCCCAATCAAACATTTCCATCGAACTTTGTTTTCCCACGAGGCCAGTGCTTTTAAGTTTAACCCTACGGTAACGTAAAGCTTAGCACGATGTCCTCACCACTTAACGAGTCAAAGCTTCATAATGATCGTCATAAAATAGGGGAGATATTGGACTATGGTAGCAATACCAGTGTCCCGGGTGATGCAGGGACAATTTACGATACCCCCTATGTCTGAGGTACAACCTCGTACTGCCTCCCTGTCCGTTCCGTTTACGTGACGATGAGAATTCGCCACTGGCGCCGCGCTCAACACCCGGTTTTGATGATTTAATCATCACGAACTAGCTTGATGAGCAGCAACACTTTATTACTCAGCAAGAAGAAAGCGCTCGTCGCCATGCAAAAATGGTCACGACCCTCGAGCACCAACGTGACTATGTGTTCACTTCACCCAGTGTGGAGGAACGCTTACTTCAAGCGGCCGGCCAATTGTTGGCAACATGGATCATTGACCATAGGTTCAAGTCTTCTGAAGAGTGGCGAGCATCCAGGCACTTTGCGAGAGATACATGGAGCCTCACCTAACAACCCAAGGTCGTTACAAGGCACGACTTGACATGCAGGCACGTGGTGCACCGGTCCTACCGATCAAGGGTATACCATTCTAATTTTTGCAGGCCAAACTAAGCGTGAAGAAGACAATGGCTTCGTTCGCCGGGTGCACCGCACACGTCGCCTTAGCAGTATGTCTGCTCTGAGAGCTGTTGCCAATGTGGCTGATGTGCCTCTCAAACGCAAGCTCCGGAATGACTATGCCAAGCTTAAGCCAGAAGACAATTGCGTAATTTCACGCGATGCGCTTTGACTACTACGGCAGCCGCGAGTGTCGGCCAATTGATGACCACCAACCCGCCAACCGACACCACTAGTGGTGGGAAACGGCCTCGGTTACAATATGGCCTTGGCCACGATGTTCAAAAACATCCAAAGCGTAAGGGCAATCTTGCTGCAGGGGTGCCTCGTATTCCCATGTGTTCTCAGACTCAGAGTACCCACGCCACTTTACCAGATACTGGTATTGGCCATGAAGACGACGTTGCTTCAGTAATCTCCAGATCCGAAACTGAAGACACCCATGCCTATCGATCAGCGTCAGTGGTGGCCGGTGTTCCGGTGGCAGTCCACAAGAAATTGGTTTTCCAAGTGAAGGGTCTTCAAGAGACCCTAGGGAAGACCTATTGCATGCTTGATGCGATGGAGATCCGCCTTCAGGCTATGGAGCGTGCTCAAACTCGGAGCGAAGCTCAGTTGGACTTTCTTATTCGCTTGCAGCAATCCGGGGCACCGCTCTCTTCGTCGGCGCCAGAGCCTCAAAGTCTACGTGGGAAAAATACCGGTACGGCTTAAGTAATCCTACGTAGAACGCTGGGTGTGTGCGCAATTTGCGTGGAAGGTTGATCGTAAACGCTGGGCCCTCTTTAGCAGTCACCGTAAACGGTCCAATGAAGCGTGGACGCAACGTTTTCTTGAAGACAGCAGACACTACATTATTAGGTAGGTTGTTTGCTCTGAGAAATACTTGGTCTCCGACTTTATTACTTTCAGTACAAATTCTGACTCAGGCATCAGCTTATTGTTTTTGTTGGTCTTGGCTATCAGCTATTGCGCCACGCACCTGTCGTAGGACATTCAATCGTGATGCGAAAAATCGCTTACCTGTTTCTGGGCAGTAGCAGGGCTGATGTCTGCAAGCCGATCAGCAACCTCTCCCCCACGAAACCCTGAGCCACAAAGCGGTAGTGTAAATGGAACGCGAGGGTGAGTGAGACCTCTTACGTATAACGGAGTAAAGACTGTGTGTACCGGTGTAGTCCTGTACATGATATTGACACCGTTTGGTGTCAATTTGGAGACTGTCCAGCGTGACAAATCCTATCAATATTATCCGAGATGGATACGATTGAAGGAACATTATCCGCGATGGATTCTATCCACGCGCTGCCAGAAGATTGTTTGATCAAAGACAAATCAACCAAGATTACCACCAAACGCGGCTAGACTCGCGTACTGAGTGGTGAGCAGGTTGTCGTCAAACGACAATGTAGATTCATGGAGCTAGATAAAGACTGAATTTATATTAATAGCTTAACAAATTAAAACAGTTCTCAAATTACATTTACTTGAGCGAGCTGTTTGCGTAGATTAGCCTTCTCTGTACGCACTAGTGTACGTGAAGTTTCGCTCCACCCCAAACAAAGGGTGTCCTGCTACACCTGGTAGCATTTCGTAGTCCGTCTAACGGCTACCTAGTGTCCATCCGACATGAACATGCTGGACGTAAAATAAGACAGCTTTCACGTCACACGTGAAGGCTACTCCCATCTAAGTGACTCAGAATGGGAGGTAGTCGGCCGCATGAGTGTGCTCATGGGCGAACTCGCTATCAGTGGCATGTTGGAGTCTCTAAGTAGATAACAGCAACATGCTGCTATCAATGAGTTTCTACGCGCATTTCTTGCCGTCCAAAGACAGAAGATAGCCTTGCTACAACAGCAAGGCTCTCATTAGTCGCTGGGCGGGCCGACGCATGTGCGTTGACCCAAAAACTTGAATACAGACATCAAGGTACACATAAAACGATGAAGATTCCCTTTAAATGGTTCGTCGAGTTAGACGACGCCATCAGGGCCCGTCATACCCAGGTTGACAAGATGAAAGTTTCGTTTTCTCTGTCAATTTGACAGGACGAGCAAAGACTTGGGTCTCAGGGCTCAAGCTTCACAACCCAAACGCGTTTGAATCGTCGGAGGTCTTGAAGTCTCGGCTCAAAGAAACGTGTGAGCCATCAAGGAGACGATTTCAGAGCACGATCTGCACTCCTAAGTTTTAAACAAGATAAGCGTGATGTGCACGCTTACGCACAGCACCTGCGCTACCTTGCAAGTAGCGTCACGGAAAACCCTGTTAGTGATCACACGCTCATCAGCGCATTCATCCACGGCCTTAAAGATTGACCGGTGAAAATCTGCATGCTCCAAGAGAACTTCCACACACTGGAAAAGGCGATAGTGTATGCGGAACACGAAGAATTTAGCCTGAGAAAGTATCAGGATGACTCGTCAAACTATCGTCCAAGGAGAGGACAAGAAACAGGAGTCCTAAACATATGGACCTCTTTTATATCAAGAGTGAGAACTCTCGCTCTCTGAGTCACAAGCGAACGGCAAGATTCCAACGCTTTCAGAAGATCGAACACTACTCTCCTGAGTGTAGTGCTCCAAGCACCGCATCACGTCCAAAGACAGGACGTGATGACCGCCGTTGGACGATGACAGGTCCAAGGCGCGGATGCGACCATATCGCTAAACCGCGACAGCAAGTCGGACCGCCATAAACAGTCAGGGTCAGTAGGGGCGGAGCACCCTGCTGATCCAGCAATGTCCAGAGAATTTGCAGGACTCTTGACGAAGATTGCTCCCAACACACAGTAACTGTGTGTTACGGATCCTAGTGATGAGGTGTCTCTCATCACAATGAAGATCGAGGTGACAAGTAGAATGTCACTTCGCGCCCTAGTTGACTGTAGGGAGTCCAACAGTTTTGTTAGACACCAGTCGCTAGAGGATAGTAGACTCAACTATGTTGAGCAAGATCTTCCTCTAACGGGTATGAAGGTGTGCCTTGCTACAGGCACATCCTTGACAGTGAACAAACGTGTAGTGGGAAAGAAGTACGACGACGACTTTATCGTATTAGATTTGGATGGTAAATTCGATGTCATCCTCTGTCTGCCATGGCTTGGAAATTACCAGCCATGGATCAGCTGGCAGCATCGATCCTTGAAGATGACTGCCGTTTGTTCATCAGATGGCCATCTGATGAACGTCTTGGAGCGTCCACAAGCGTGTTTATGTACTACGAGTAAGTTCGATGGCCTCACTTGTGATACTTTCGTTGATACAACTACACAAGATCACAACATAGAAGGCCACTACACTGTGGAACCAGCTTCCGGCACCTGTGTAGAGACACAGGCTGCACCGAAGGATCACCACTCGCAGAGATCGAGTGGACTGGAACACGGATGCACACCAATAAAGGCGCATCCAAGAAATGAGATGAGTGTTATTTAGGATGAACTACATGTCACAGCGAGATCAACCAACAGAGAGTCGATTGCAGAGCAAACACGATGGACTGAAAGAGAGTCGATCGAAGAGTACGTGACTGTGGTAGTAGGAACACCCACAGTCAGTACACGTATTGAAGAAAGTCACAGCTTTCCTAAGAGTGATATTTCCCGAGAGTGTTATGTTGAAGGTGTGTTTCCCCACCCACCGGCGGATACGCTCTTCTAGGAAAGCCGTGAGACAGTAAATGTCTTGTTGATTGAAGGATCTAGGCTCTTACACACTTGATCCGGTCACACCTCCAAAGTCAGCTTCGGAGGGAATCAAGTTGCCAACGCTAGAATCTGAAAGCTTCTTGCGAGATCTGCGTAGTGACAAAATCAACCAGATCTGCGTACTCGTCGCAGAGGAAGAGTACGCCGCCTATATTCGGTCGGCACAAGATTTTACTGAGATCGGACGGGTTCTCAGTAGCTTAATGACGGAGGATAGATATTGTTTTTGATGAGAAGACTCGGATTAAGCGATACACGTCTCCATCTTGGTAGCCTGTACAGACAAATCCTTCGCATAAGGATTTGGTCAAAATCAGAAATGCTTTCCCGGCATCCGTGCCATGCGAGCTGCTTAAGAATAAAAGCACTCTGCATGAGATCGAAATAGAACCCGGTTCGAAGTACTGTGTCATGAAGCATTGCTACTGCATCGTGAACAAGTACTTGCGATCGACAAGTTCTTTGCCGATCGCTTAGCGGCTGGTCATGTGAGGGAATCAACATCCCCACACAGCTCTCCGACCTTCTGTGTGCGAAAACTCACAGAAGGGTGGCGGTGAGTGGACACGTTCAACAAAATGAACGCTGCAACGGTACCGGCTCAATCGCTAATACCAAGGAAGGACGTCATCAAGGTTGGTGTGGCAAAAAGTTGCATATTTTCGTCCATGGATCTGATGGATGAATTCTATCAGATCCTCATGCGCGAACGGAACATCCTGTACACAGCAGTAAGAACCCCCAGTGGTATGCTCTGGAATTGGCTAGTGATGCCACAAAGGATAAGTAACGCCCTTACAACGTTTATCAGATGTGTTACGAATCTGTTGCGATCGGTGCGCGATTTCGCACTGAGTTACTTTGACGATGTCTTCGTTTATCACCATGCTATTGATGGAAAGACGGACGTGGAGGTTCATCGAATCCACTTCCGTGAGGTTCGTACGCTTGTGCGAGAGCATAAGTTATTCGCGAACCTCAAGAAGTGTACATTCGCAGTGAACGAAATACCACTTCTTGACTGCATCGTGGGTAAAAACGGCGTACGCTTGTGCGAGAGCAAAAGTTGTTCTTGAACCTCAAGAAGTTTTTATTCGCAGCGAACGAAATACCACTTCTTGGCTGCATCGTGGGTAATAACGGGTACGCTGTGATCCATAAAGATTAAAGCGATTAGCGGCTGATCTGTGCCAGTCGACGTCAAGGGACTTCAAAAGCTCCTTGGCTTGGCGGCGTACTTGCACAAGTACTCGCGCAACTATGCCGATATGACCGTTCATCTCTCTCGTCTGCTAAAGAAAAACGAGAGGTGGTCATGGAGTGCTGAGTGTCAGCACTCTTTTATAGGGATCAAGCAGAGCTTGATTCAATCGCCTGTGTTGGCGATCGCAGACCAGGACAGACCATTCCATGTGGTCTGTGACGCCAGATATTTTGCAATTGGCTGCGCGTTGATGCAGTACGGCTCATACGGCGTTGAGCGCTTCGTCCGTTCTCAATCGTATCAACTGCAAGCAGCTGAGTGTAATTATTTAGTGCATGACAAGGACTTCCTCGCCATGGAAAAGTTACTGGCTTAGTTTAGGATACATCTCTACGGGGATAGGCCCTTCTCGTTTAAACCGACCATGAGTCGTTACGCACGGCCGTAAACAGTCCACACCTCTTGCAACGAATGGCGAGGTGGCTTTCTTTATTCGCGGATTACAACTTCTCCTTCGATTATAAACCAGGATGAATTGATGTCGTCGCTGATGCTCTTTCGCGTCGGACCGATTCGGAACCGACTCCTCGACCCAACATTAGGGGTGATCCCACTGTTGCAACACTATCAGTGAGTGTTCCGTCGTCAAATCTTCTCGACGACGTGCGGAAAGCAAACACAGTAGATGAGTCTCTTCTGCGATTGGTGGATTACGTTTCCAATCCATGCAGTCAACATTTGAGAAGATTGACGTCTCAACACCGCTCTTCAACCGAACGGTAATCGGTTTGTGATGGA